AAGCAACTTGCTTTGTCGACATGGCAGTGTAGACGCAAGGACAGTTTACATGCAATAACGCTTTCTGTTGACAGAACTCTGTCAACAGAAGGCGTTATGCCTCGTGAAATGAGGTTTACCAGCGTCGACAAAACTGCTGAGTTCTGTTGACGTTATGTCGACAGAACTCAGCGGTAGTGTGGACGCAGGTATAGTTTTGTCGACAAAAGTCCACTTTCGTCGACAAAACACTGTAGTCTAAACACACCCAATGTTATTTCGGAACAACATCAGTTATTCCGAAATAATGCTGCAGTGTAGACATAGCCTTAGTTTGCTAAGAGTTATATCAGGTCTACACTATGCTTCAATCTGTTTCTGCTATCAAGGTTTAACTGCCACCATGGAAAGGTCATTGCATACAGAAGACTAGCTGGTTTCTGACTATGGAAATCCTTGTTACAAAGAAAAAAAGACTTAGCTAGCATCATCTAGTCAGATTCCATTTGAAGCTAGTTTGAGAGCTTGATGAAGAAAGTAACTTACCCACCCTAATCTGATTCCATCTACTGCAAGAGTAGACATCAGGGTATTGAACTAAAGATAGACTTTGGTCCTAAGTTTTCCATATGGGATGGGCTGCAGAAAGAAGCAAACTGGAATATTCATAATTTTTCTTCTGCAGGCTGATTAAAATCAAACATCACAGGAATAAAGAAAAGCTCCATGTATCGTGATACACTTCAGAGAAGAAATATGCAGTTGTTGAGCTATGAAGTTAATGAAAGTTTTCAGTAGGTCAATGTCATAATGGTTTCCTTAAAATACAAATACAGTAACATTTATACACCATCAAATAAGCCACAGTGGTAAGTGGAGTATTCCTAAATCAAACAGGACTATATATATCATCAGGCTGGGATATTTTAATGGATACTTATTTTCAAAACTTGTCTGGTCTAGAGTTGGAAGTACAATATGGCCCTGCTTATTTTCAGTTTAAAAGTAGAAGAAAATAAGTGATTATTTTAGTATTTTTCAAAAGCTTCTGTAACACAAGAATAGTTGCTTCTCTGAGAATCCGAACATGACCACAGATGCCTTTTCTGTTCTAGTTAATAAGATAACAAAGCTTCCCACTTAACTTTTGCTTTGCTAGCTTGAAGGAATGAAACAATGACAAAAACTCGCAAAAAGTTAATTAAAAAAATTAAAATGGAAAGAAATGTGGAACAATGGAAAGAGACAGAAATAATGATGGAAGATGTTGGGGGAGGAAGAGGCACAGGAATTTCCAGTGAAGCATTACTCCAGCCAGTGCATAGAAAGAAGTCTCTGAAGTAACCAGGGAAGAAAGGTAACAAGTTCAATCCTCTTCTATGGCATCGTTACAGCTAGATCTGGCCCTATTATTAAGATTTTATTTACTATGAAACAAGCTTTAGCTCTGAGAAAGGGAAGGAAGAGAGTGTTTATAAAACTGAAAATAAAAGTTAACTAGGTGTTTAGTAAATCTTTGGTTATACTTGAAATCACATTAAAAAACAAAAATGACTTTAAATTTAACTGTAATAATAAGCAAACCTTGCTTGAACCAATCTTTTATATATTTTTGTTTAATATATGTGTGAATTAGAACGACTCACGTGATCCTGGGTTGTGTTTACATTGAAGAGGCACTGCTGCGATCTAACTCAAGAAGACCACAACCAGAGCTCAGGTTTACATGAGGCTGCATAGACCTGGTGCACAAGGGTGGATTTTGTATGCTGTAGTCCAGGTAAAAGCAAGGAACAATAGAATTGTGTGGGGTTTCAAAAATGCATTGTTAAAAAGTAGTCTGGAAGATATACAAGAGCATCAAAACTATGTCCAGGGGTAGAGAGTCCAACAGATAACCCTTTCGTGCCTTACAGCTTAGACTTTTACCCTTAATGAATATATTACTTGATACTTCAAGTAAAATAGAATATGAAACTATAATATGAAGCTAAAGGTCAAACGCCTTAACCTTTTTTCTTCTTTATTTTGATATTTTTTCATGTCCTGTTTAAGGTCACACCTGATATACAGTGTTCTGAGTTTTTCACTTTTTACTGATTTTTTTCCACTGATAAAGTACCATTTTTTAATTAAAGGAGTGCAGATTTTACTGATTTAAACCTATGTATTAATCCATTCAACATTTTTCTTACTTATTTTTGTTAAACACTTAGGCTACGTCCAGACTATAGGTTTTTTGCAGAATACCAGAGATATCCCACAAAAACCCTGCCATGTCCAAGGAATGCGTTTGCTCTTCTGCTTTTTTCATGGAAGAGCAAATGTGCTCTTTCAGGGAGCCCTGTATACCTCATTTCATGAGGCATAAGGGCTCCTTCGAAAGAGGAGGCTTTTCCACCTTTTGTCCCTGTCTACACAGGGCCAAATGGCAGAAAAACCTCTTCTGGAAAAAAAAGTGGAAAAAGCTACACATAACGTGGAGCGTATTTTGTGTAGCTTTTTCTGCAAAAACTTTGCAATCTAGAGCTAGTCTTATGTTTGTTGTGTCCTGCAGCTCTGAGATTGAAGCAATTCCACAGCATAAAACATAAAAGACACAGTAGAGGTTGGAAAATCAAATATTAATAGTCTTCTATGATTGGCTCATAAGAAGATGGTATTTTTTAACAGACATTGTGTGTAGTGCTGAATTTAAACAATCAGTTCTCCACAAAGATACGGCAAACATGGAGTGAAAATGCAAATCTATGTTTGAACACCAACAAGAAAATTCATGCTTAGAAATTTTTAAGAAAAATAATGATGGAAGTAAAGAGGATTCATTTCATTGCAAGTATTGCAGCACTGAGGCAGTGCTCACACTAACAGAATAAAGGAACCTGTTGAAAGCAAGCAACGCAAGAAGCTTAAAGAAGAAAGTGAGCTTCAGGATAAACAGTCAATATCAGGAACTTTCGCCAGGGCTGTAATGAAAGAGGACACAGCAAGACTGTATCAGTGAATTTGTGCATGCTCTTTGTGTTGCAAGACAACCACTGTTAATTGCAGAGGGGACTAATGGTGACTTTGTGCAATAATGCTGTCCAGCATCAAAACCCCTTCCTAATGCAGACAACTTCACTTGTAAGTATCTGAGGGTACATCTATGCAGCACTGTTATTTCGGAATGTAAGCAATTATTTAGACATAATATTGAAATTATTTCCAGCCAGAGGACTTCTTACTCTGGCCATGTCTTGACTAACTCCCTTTTTTGGTAAAGGGATGTAAATTAGGCACATCGATATTGCAAATATAGTCAGGATTTGAATTTCCCATGCTTCATTTGCATAATGGCAGCCGCCAGGGCTTTTTCGAAAAAAAAAAAGGCAGTTTAGACAGGGCATTTTCGACAGAAATGCCTCTTTTTGAAAGATCCTTTTTTGAGGAGTACAGGATCTTTTGAAAAGGGGCATTTCTGTTGAAATGTCTAAACTGCCGGATTTGTTTGTTTGTTTTTTTCAAAAAAGCCCTCTTTCGAAAAAAAGCAGCGGCCTCCATTATGGAAATGAAGTACGAGAAATTCAAATAAAATAACCCTGCATTGTTTTGTGCTGACACGAGCCTCTTTGCATACACCTTTTTTTATTGATGCTGCAATAACTGACATGTTTGAGATGTGATAATAACTTGGGAAAATGTGGCCACAACTAACATAGATTCTGCTTCCTAGATGACTAAGATTACATGGGAGATTAAACTCAATCAGAAACCAGAGCTACTATATATTGCCTGTCCTGCTCTCTGATTAATATTCCACTGTCAGCAGTATTGCTACAGAAGAAATAAAAAATCTGAAGTCTTGCATCACTGGATTTGGGGCATGTGAACTAGTTGAAGGCTTTGTTTATACAATGCAGAATAAGTGCAGAGCTGACTGCCAGTTATTAAAAGATGCAGGAAAACGTATGGTGAGAAAACCCAGCTATCACTGGAATCCTTGTGGCCCTGGAATATGAGCTCCACCCGCATTCTCAAAGCTTTCAACACAATGCTCAGCAAGAAATGAGATGTAACCACGGCCAGTAATCTGAACCCCGAAGTATTTGACACTGAAGATTCTTTTTGGAATGTCATCCAAGCGTTGCATCCCTTCCTTGAGGTAAATTTTACTGCAGATGACTATTGTTATGCAAGAGCATGTCAACCATTTGCCACTAAGAATGAAATTTCAAATCTGAAAGGGGAATATTACCATTGACATGAACATGCCTAAACCTGACAATGTTAAACTGGATGTTCTGGCTTTTTGGAACAGTCATCAAGACACATTTCCCAATTTCAGCACAGTGGCACAGCGAGCTCTGCATGCACCTCCTGGGTCTATTTCAAACCTGGACTACATCCAAGACAGCAAGAGGTTCAACATGAGTGAGAATAGTTTAAGAAAATTATGTGGGTGTACACAGACCAAGATTTCTGGAAAAACTAATAGTTCTGAGAGAAACAAAACAATTATACTGTAATAAAATATATATTACTAAAGTTTTTTTCTTTTCCCCCTAATTCCCTTCTCCCCCTCCCGTTTTGTTTGTTTGTTTGTTTATCCAATTTCACCCAGTTTCAATGTTTGAAAAATAACCAATGAAAAATTCCCAGAATTGTTTGGGGTTTTTCCCCCCCCAAATAAAAACTGAAAATGCAGAACACTCCCGATACACTCCTGTGCTTAACTTTCAGCATGTTACTCTCTGTATCTGCTCAAAATGAAGCAGGTCTTAGTGTTGCACTGAATAGGAATGAACTTAAGCACTTGTGGCATTGGATCCTAAATATTCAGTGATCATCAGCACTGTGTACACTCACTAATCACAGAGGTTTCAGTTTTAATGATGGCATTTTAAACTTCATGTAACTTTGTATATTTTTAATTCAGTGTGCTTACTCACAAATGCAATGTGTCAGAGTAAAGTCCGCTAGTCCAAGAACACACAATGAAATCAGGAAGATGCACTTTTGCAAGCCTTTTGATTTTGAGATAGGGCTGAGCTGTTCACCTGGACTTCAGCAGCAGGCAAAGTACAGTTGCAAAGAATTAGCTCTGTGATTTGTCTCAGCTTTTTCTTTCTGAGTCTTCACTTGAAACTAAAGGTAAGTTGTCTGCCTCACTCTTTTCTTCAATTGTTTTCTTAATCGTTTTTAATCCGTCTGCTTCATTTTAAACAGATGCTTACATCTCACTGACTTCCATGAAAGTAAAGTTCATGCTGCAAGTTAAGCATGCACTTTGCTGTATCAGTATAGTCCTGCATTTGGAGTGTTTATTTATAAAAACAATTCCAGTAAGTTTTCATTAGTTATTTTCTAGACATTAAAACTTGGATGAACTTGAGTTAAAAACAAACCAAAACCAATTTATAAATTGTTACTGGCCCTATTTAGATTTGAATAGGGCCAGAAAAACTTACTAATCTAAGAGTCAGATAATCCACAGGGAGGAGAAGGAAATGTGATTGTGGAAAATGCTTTATGTAATATATTGCATTTTGACTGCAAGATACCTTTGTGGTTTTGCTTAGGGAAAACCTGGTTGAAGGAAAGTCCTTTTTGCTTTTTTCAAACCCCAAATCCACAGGTTGGTTTTCTTCATTTGGCCTCAGCCTAGCTGACATGTTTCCTGCAGCCACAGGTGGAAGTTTATACTAATTATAGACTAAAAGAGCTCCTGTAAGCACAAATGCCAGAAAATACTCTCCGCAGTTTGTACACCATGCTGTCTAATTAATACTGCTTCATACATAGACAGCATGTGGAGCTGGTGTTTTGCATGTGCTAGCTCTTTGTTCTGTCCCCTAGAACCAGTACAGATCACTTTCAGGGGATATGGAGCATCAGATCTGATAAATGTGAGGTGTGCTTTTTAAATTTAAACACTTTGTCATTACATTATTTTCTATTGGTTTTTAATCAGATACAAAATTGTGTTATGTCGTATTGACTGTGTAAAAGAACAAGATAATGTGTATTCCAAATGATGGGACAGTGCTACCTATAAAAATGAACTGAGAGAAATGCAACATCATGCATTGAGAAATCGGGATGTGTGGGAGGAGAAAAGCCTATTTTGGTTTAGACTGGCTCTATTTTTAGCAGGTCTTTTGGTCACCTTCAAGCATTTTTTTATTTCTTCAAGTAATAAATAATTTAATTTTAAATGACTGTCAGTGTTCTGTTTTTACTGTGTATCTGCAGAGGGACTGACTCCGAAGAAGATGAATTTGAGAAGTTCAGTGGGATTTATTCTACTGTTACTCTTTAAATGTGCTGTGTGGACAAGTAGTGAAGAAACTGTGGTGCTTGCTAATGCCCACCTTCTCCCTCCAGGCGGCTACCAGAGATTGAGTAACATCAATGAAAAAGGTACTCAGCTAGACAGGGAGTGGTGGAGATGGATGTATTTTACTTTAAAGTCTTTACTATCCTTTTTACTATGCATTCACTACTATAGTCTGTGAATACTTCACAACATTGATGAGCATTCGACAGTCAAAGATAAAGACTTAATAATAAATATTCATGATACTAGTTAGCAATTTATAATGCCTTTTATTCACAGATCTCAAAATATATTAAAAGTTTAAAAACTGTTTATTTACAAAAGGTTTTAGTTCCTTTCTCTTCCCAGAATATGTTTTTTTTCCAAGTACCTTCTTGGAGTTCATTTCTTTAGTGTTCCTCTGATCTGTTGATGGTCTCAACTCTGATAAGCTTCAGTATATTAATTGATCAGTATTTTAATTGATCTTTCCCTGAGAAAAGAAAAAGTCATAGACATATGATCAGTGCAAGGACTGTTAGGCTACATCTAGACTGCAGTGCTATTTTCGGATACCAAATAGCTATTCCGCATCTTTTGAGCGCACCTGTTATTTTGAAATGTAACGGGCTTGCTATTCTGACATCCCTGTAAACTTCATTCCATGAGGAGTAAGGGATGTTTCGGAATAGCAAATTATTTCAAAATAAGTGCTGTGTAGACAGCATCAAATTTTGAAATAACCTATTTCAAAATTGACTCAAAATAAGCTATTCAGTTTGAGGTATGGGTGCAGTGTAGATGCATCCTTAGGGACAGCGGTGAAAATAACTTAAAATTTCTTACAGGTACTGTCCTATTGCAACTCGGGTCCCTGCCAGCTCTTTAAATAGCTCCCTGCAGCTCTTGTTGGAGCTGGGCACCAGAGTGCACCTGCTTACTTTCACCTCTGGTTAGTGACTTCTATGAGTAAAGAAACATAGAGCCCAGATGCTGTGAATTATGTCATCCTCTCAGAATACTCTGCAATAGCATGTTGGGGACTCTGATAATCTGGAAAAGCTTAAAAAACAGCAAATAGTCCTGTAGCACCTTAGAGACTAACAAAAAATATAGATGGAACCATGAGCTTTCGTAGGCACAACCCACTTCTTCAGATGAATGGCGTAGAGGGGTCCAGGTTGCAAATAAACAGAGAAAGAGAGGGGATGGGGAGGGAAGGAGAGAGAAAAAAAATGGAGAAAAAATGTCAGTTAGAGTGTCCATGCTAAATGAGACTAATAGAGAGGGCTATAAGTATTCTAAGTACCTGGTGCTTATCATTTTATGTCAATAGGATGTGGAAGGTCACAGCCTGTCTAGGACAAGTCTTTGTTTAAACCTCTATTCAAGATGTCAGACTTGTAAGTGAAACCCAGTTCTGTAGTTTCTCTTTCCAGGGGACTTTTGAAATTGCTTTAAAATAATACAGACACTTTTAGCTCCATTAGGGTATGTCTATACTACATGGCTCTGTTGCCAGTTTACTAGACATACCCAAATGAAGTGGCAATTTAAATAATCGCCGCTTCATTTAAATTAAAATGGCTGCCACGCTGAGCTGATCAGCTGTTTGTCGGCTCAGCGTGCTAGTCTGGACGCTCTGCGGTCGACATCAAAGGCATTTGTCGACTGCCTCATTATGCCTTGTGGGATGAGGTTTACCGGGGCAGTCGACAAATGCTTTTGATGTCGACCACGGAGCGCGCAGACTAGCGCGCTGAGCCAACAAACAGCTGATCAGCTCAGCCCGGTGGCCATTTTAATTTAAATGAAGCGGTGATTATTTAAATTGCCACTTCATTTGGGTATGTCTAGTAAACTAATCTACATGGCTCTGGCGACAGAGCCATATAGTCTAGACATATCCTTAGTGAGAGCCCAGGCAAGTTGAAATGTTCCCTAACAGGTTTCTGTATGTTACCATTTTGAATATCTGATTTGTGTCCATTAATCCTTTGTTGTAGAGACTGTACAGTTTGGCCAGTATACATGGCAGTGGGGCATTGCTGGCACTTGATGGCATGGATCACATTAGTGAATGTGCAGTTTTAAGAGCCTCTGATGTGGTGGCTTATGTGGTTAGGTCCTGTGATGATGTCACTTGTATAGATGTGTGGACAGAGTTGGCACCAGGGTTGATTAACAATCTACAACCTATCCTGGAAAATGATCCCTCACTCTCACAGGCCTTGAGGTACACACCTGTCCTCACCTACAGACAGCCCCCTAATCTCAAACAAATTCTTTCCAGCAACCACACAGCACACCTCAAACATACTCATCCAGGAATCCACCTCTGCAATCAGCCCCGGTGCCAACTCTGTCCACACATCTATACAAGCGACAACATCATGTGTGAGTCTCTGGTTAATGACACAGATAATAAATAATATCCTTCCCTACAAAAGAGGAATTGCTGAGATGTATATGTGTACTTCTTAGCTCAAAAACCAGACATTGTGACTTTCTTTCAGAGCAGCTTGAAATCAATATGAGTAAATCAAAGGTTCCTTTGATGCCTTAACAGGACGTTATCAGTGATTTACATAAGATTTGTTCATAAAAGGTGAAATTCACCTTTAAGCAGAGGGCCAGTCCAAGGTCTATGTGCCACTTTTATCCCACCTAAGCCCTCAGAAACATACAATTTCTGTATACATACAAGTTTATCCCGTAAATTTTTTATATTCACAATGAAGTGAAAAACATTTAATCTGTTTTTCTTTTATTGGTGTTCAGTATTTTATTAGTTCCCCATTGGCCACAGCCTAATGTAGTTTCATGAATACAACACCAGCTAAAATTAACAAACCACAATAAGTGTCAAGATCTAGCTATTTATACATGAAAAAATCTGGGTCTGAAGTGAATTTCTAGGTTTGCCACTTTGTTCTATTCTTCTGAATTTGTGAAAGTTGTGCAATACTCTTTTGCTCTCTTTTTTTGCCCATTCTACCTATATTTCTATCAGCAAAATAGGGCTGCATTCCTGATACAGAGTTTGAGTATGGATTATATGACACAGGAGATTTTCAGAGACATGAATAGTAGCTAATTACCATATTGTCATTGAAAGGCAATCAGAGTTGAGCGAGTCTTTTTTTTTTTTTTTGCCTTTTATAAATCTCCCTTATATTCTGCCCTGATTATTTGCTGAACTGCTTCCATTGATTTTAGCTGGTGGCCCATGTATGGGCTGAAGAATGTGGCCATCCTGGGTTTGTCTAGACTGCATCCCTCTGTCAGCAAAAAGAGGCAGTCTAGAGGGGGATCTGTTGAGAAAGAAAGCATTTTTCGACAGATCCCTTATGCCTCCTGCAAGTAGGTTTACAGGATCTGTTGAAAAAGGCTTGCTTTCTTGACAGATCCCCCTCTAGACTGCCTCTTTTTGCTGACAAAGTGCTGAGTCGGGAAAAACGATGGCCATTTTTATGCAAATTAAGCATGGGATATTTAAATCCCCGCTTCATTTGCAATGTCGACCTGCCTAATCTGCATCCCTCTGCCAAAAGGGATGCAGTCTAGACATACCCACTATGTCCTTGTCAAATACTGATAAGACAATAGTTCATTAATTCTGAAATTTAAAGTCCAGAATTTTGAGAGATTTACAAGTCGAGAGCAACATTTTAAACATACTTTTCTTTCTCCCCCATAGAATATCCAAGAGATTGTTACGAGATTTTTCAGCACTCTGAACGAAGCGCCAAGGATGGTCTTTATGTCATTCAGCCAATGAAAGAGCCTATTGTTACTTACTGTAATATGCAAGATGGTGGGTGGACCGTAATTCAGCATATTACAGCCAATAGCACTGTGGACTTTGATAGGCTATGGCAGGACTACAAGTATGGATTTGGCTCAGTTCATGACAACTACTGGTTAGGGAATGAATATGTTTATCAGTTAACTAACACAGCAAGGCCCTATACACTTCGGGTCAAACTTGTAGACCTAAACGCTGAAATCAAATGGGGAGAATATGAACCATTCAAAATAGAAGATGAGGCGTCTCAATACAGAATCAGGCTTGGCCTATACAAAGGAAATGCTGCTGATGCCCTAACCCAGGATACAGAAGCTTATCTCCATGATAATCAAAAGTTCACTACAAAAGACAGAGACAATGATAACTATTTTCAGAATTGTGCCAAAATAGAGTATAACGGCATTCCAGGGGGAGGGTGGTGGTATGATTCTTGTGCTGGAGCAAATCTAAACCGCAGGAATGTTATATACTGGCAGAAAGACTGTACTAAGGAACATTTGTGCAAGTTTGCCTGGATGATGGTCAAGCCCATTGACCCTGAGCAGTGTCCTACTAAGGCTTGTCCTTGTCAAAAAGATGAATTGTAGATAATATTATTTCATTATAAAGTGAGACAATAAAATCAACTTCTAAAAATCTCTTTTGAAAAGTTTTCTTGATCTCTTGAATAGAGTCCATCAGTTCACTTTTTGTTTACTATAGCTTAATTACTTTCTGTGACTATTTCTTGCAGAAACTCTAAAACTAATTTCAAAATAAAGATGAACTCATGCTACAAAATTCAGGTGCAGACTTTGAGCATTCCAAGGTTTTTTTTCCCAGAGTTTCTATTCCACATGCAACAGTGTTAAAATCAAATGACAAACTTCAGATCTGGCTCTGGATTCAAATCCTGAATTTCTCCCAGAAATCCGGGCCATTTAGATCTATGTGGTGTGGTACATTCCTCTCTCTGATTCAGACACCAGTTGATTAGATGTACTAATTTTGGATTCTTGTGATACCAAATAATAAATGCACTATTTCAATTATCACTATTCAGAGCACACAAGGAAGAATACCGTCTAAAGACAAAAACTTTTTTTTATAGTTCATTTTATTTATTATCTTGAGGAGAGGAGAAAACAGGCTATCTGTGAATTAATGAATCTGCTTTGTGAATCCTAGATTAATTATGACATGAATCTGCTATAGATCTTCCTGAATATTCAGAATTTAGTTCTGCCAGTAAATAAATTTTGTGCTGAAATAACTTGCTGGACTGGAACTTCGGGCATGACTGTCATCTGTCTACATCTAGTAATAGGACAAGGGTCAGGCGTAAACACGGGCCTTTACTATGTGACTCAAAGAAACAGCTCAGCTGCGTTGGCTAGAAGAGAGGACTGATATGATCTGACATATTGCATCCAGTAGAGGGCGGCAACATACACAAATGTGAGGAGAGTGTTTTCCTTATGTGAGTATTCATGTTTGGATTTCACATTTACACAATTGCTCATTTTCATGTGTCTTGCAAAGTCACACACTGTGTGTGTGTGTGTGTGTGTGCGCGCATATTAAGTTTCTGAGTTTACAACATCTATAGTAAAGAAATTTCAATACTTAAGTGTCTCCCTGAGTCATACATCACATGGCTTCTCTCGCCTGTTAGTTCCTTCCCCTGTTCCCTTTTTTGGTGAGCTTCAATAGAACAAAATATCCAACAAAGAACATTCTTTATTTTTATTAGACTAGTTAGAATTGGGGTTTATCTAAACTGCAGGCTTCTTTCAGAAGAAGCTTTTCTGGAAGAGATCTTCCAAAAAACTTCATCCAAAAGAGAGTGTCCACACTGCCAAAGCGCATCGAAAAAGTGATCTGCTTTTTCAAAAGATAGTGTTCATACTGAATGGATGCTATCTCACATTTAAGCTGTGATTACTAAGGACGGAGTGGCCACCAGGGTACCTGTGCTTTTTTCCGCTTTCCTGTTCTTCTGAAAAAACTCCCTCTTCCACGTCCACACACGCCTTTTTTCTTTCAGAAAAGGCGTTTTTCCTCATAGAATGAGGTTTACCATTCAGAAAACCCCTTCTGTCCTTCCAATTTTTTTTTCGAAAGAACACAATAGCAGTTAAGTTTTTTCGGAAAAATGGCCCTTTTTACAAAAAAAAAACCCTGTAGTCTAGACGCACCCTATTAGCAATCTTATTAGCCTTTCTATTAGAAAGTCCTATCTCCTGGGTTTACAATAATTATAAAATTCTCTCCAAGATAAAACGTGGTGATCAGTTTTTAAAAATTGAAAACAAAATGGTAATTTTAGAGCTGTTGCAATACAATTAAAAAGAAATCTTTATATTCTTAATATATTTCTCTGTTTATTTCTGTGTGGCAGTTTTGCTTCATTTTAAAATGAAATTTTGCAGGATGATACTCTAATATAGAGACAATATTAAAGTGTTGCTTCTCCCCCGATTCATGATATATTTCTAGCCTTTTCTTCATATTATTGTGAGTTAAGAACAGAGTATAAGTAGAGCCCTGCAGATCCGCAAATACCTGCTTTATAAACACAGATAACTGCATCCACAGATGTCAGCTGCTGGAGACTATTTTTATGAATTGCAGATGGATAGGGAGACAAATTTTATATCTAAAGCCCTGCAAATCTATGAATCATTTTTTGAGAATCAGATGCAGATACACATTTTGTATCTATGAAGAGCTCTAAGTATTAGCCTTATTTCATATTTTCTAGTTTTGGATGTTGTTATTCAACTTTCACATTATTTAAACACAAGAAGATTTGCCTGGTGTTGCTCAGGTTCTAAGCCCAATTAATTTTTGTTTTTTGGAAAATAAAATGAAAATGCACATGCTTCATTTAAATCATTGCTCTGGGTAGGATTGGGGATGAGAGATTCAGTATGCAGGCTGTCCCAGGGAAAGAAGACTATTCCAGCCTTCTCTCACCACAGCAACTTGAGGCATACCTGGGGTTGGGTGAATGTCCCCTGGCTGGGGCAGGTTCAGGTTAGGCTGGGTCGGGATGACGAAAGGACCACTTGTCTCGTGGCAGCAGCAGTTTTGGGGTAGCTCCAGGTTGGGTGCAAAGGCTGGGTGGAGTCATTCCCTCTTCTCCCCCGCCACCCCCCGCCATAGCAGAGAGCTGCCACAGCTAGGAGGAGAGGCACAGCCTCTTGTTATCCTAGCAGAATGGAGATGCTGTGGCAGTTCTGTGCTGGGACTGCCAGGAGCCCCTGCCCTCCATGAACGTCCTTCAACGTTCGCTCAGTTATGTCAGTTTTGAGAACTGTACTTGATTTGATGATTCTTCCTCTTTTCTATTTGGTTTTATGAGAAGAAATCTGCTGCAGCTCCATCGGGCACAGACAGGAGAGGGAGTGCATGTCACTTTGCTATGGCAGGTCCAAATTTGTCTGTCCTCTGCGCTTCCCAGCCAGAGTGAGAAATGCACCAACCTGTGCACTTTCCCCTCGCTTTCTGATGAAGTGGAACAGCCCAATGGTCCTGGACAAATGGGGTGGGGGGGAGCTTCAGTCCCCCTGCCTTCCATAAAGGGTGCCTGGATGAGGTGGAAGGCTCAGGGATGGGGTAGTCCTGAACAGGAAGGAGCACCCCTAATCAGCCCCTTTCAGCTGCCTGGGGATGCTGTCTCTTTTCTATACGGTTTTATGAGAAGCAATCCTGTTCCAGGCACATCCCATTTTCCTGGACCTTGCTTTAAGTTATGATAACAGAAAGCTGTATACCGAATTTGGTGGTCCTAGCTCTTGAGAGGAGTTCTTGGTTAAACAGACAAACACACACAGACAGGCATACAAACTCTCTCAAATATATCGTAACTAAGACATTTTTCTTGTTAAGAATATGAAACATAATATTACTGAATTTTAATATGAAATATAATATATTGTTCTTTAGCGGTTATTAAACTATATTAAATTAATCACTTTTAAAAGTATAAAGAAAAGGATTTATCTTAAAACAATCTGGAAAGTTCTCGGGGGGTTGTACATATAAATAGATTTATCTTCACTCAGTTCTACTCTGTATCACCAGAATATCTATCTGGCATCTACAGCATCCTTTTCTGTTCATTTTTATTGTTATTGTATGGAAGTCACTAGTGTAATAATTAAGATATCTTTTATATTTGGAGTTTTCCATAAAATGCTTGTGGATTGTTTTTAAAATAGAAGTGTGATAATGTGCATCTAAATTATTAATTTAAAGAAATTACAGCACCTAGGGAGGATCAACAGAGGATAATCCGAGAGATGAGAAATAGAATGTGAAATTAAGAAGCTAAATTGCAATAATATTTTTTTTTACCTTGTACTGCAAAAGAAACCAGGAATTTAAAACACAGGTAAGGGCTTCAGGAGATAAATTAATATAATTCACATGCTTATATTGCATCATCTGACTTTTTAATGCTCAAATAAATGAAGAGAAGTACTGTAATGGGGAGGAGATATGGATAATTACTGAACATTTTGTACATTTACACATTCAGAGAGTGGGCCCGAGCAATTTGGGGAGATTGGAAAAAGTAGCCTTTCTGAATTTTTAGACAACTTCCTACTTGTCTCTGTGTAGATGGAAATGTGCAACATGAAGTACTAATAGGAGACACTAGACTTTAGTTAAAATTGTGAGTGACAGTGTGTTTAACTGGGAGTTTTATTCACCTTGTCATGTTGTATGTGAGTTCTAGTGTTCTACAGTAACTCTGTGTGTGTGCCTCAGTTTCCCAGGGCATTGCCTAGATGGTGATGGGAATTTCAGGTGTTACTCTCACTGAGGAAGGCTACCCCAGTTGCCTGCACATACCTAATGACCGGTGCCCTTTGTAACCTGAGCAAGGAGGGAGTATGGACAGGTGATGCCTTTTTCCTGGGAAGCAGGACAAAGGCTGGAGGATGAAGGGATGACTGGGACCAGGCTGCTAGATGTGTGAGCTTCTCTCAGATGGCTTGGGGAGGGCAGAGAGAGGGTCAGGTCACTAGCTCTGGGCCCCTCTCTCTCCAAGATGGATTGTACTGACAGCTACTGGTGACTATGCCGACAAGTCTGTTTTACGCTGTATCACTGTTGACTAATAATCTTTCTGTTCTACCTGATGGCTGAAAGTCACATCTGACTGCAGATGGGGTGCAGGGCCCAATGACTCCCCATGCCCTCGGTGACCGACAGTAACATGAAATCTCATTCCAAGGCATCACATAAAATATGATTGAGAGACTTCAAGTTACAGAGAAGTCACCATGTACACCAGGCCCACCACTGCGGAAGTAATTGCCTGGGAGGGACCCAGCAATTCAAAAAGGCCCACGGCTCCTGGCCGGTGCAACTGTGGGAGACATAGCCCCAGGCCCTTTAAACCACTGCCAGAGCCCTGGGCAGTGTGCTCTAGGTGGCTTTAAGGGCTGGAGGGATATGGTGTGGTCTGGGCCATGCTGAGGGATGGCTGCCCTAGCCCTACCCCTTCCACTCCTTCTGGGAGCGTGGAGTCGGCCCTCCCCACAACTCACCCAGGGGCTTGGCAATTCTGTCGGCCCCCCTATTTACACTGATTTAAACTTGCAATTGACCTGTTCCCCATGCTGCAAAGGAAGGTAACCGCTCTCCTCCCACAAGGTCATTGCCAGTTTAACCCAGGGGAAAATTCCTCCCTCACCCCAAATACTTACATGCTAGCAAATATATAGTTAGTAAATCCAGTTAAATGAACCCCACTGTGTCTATGTGGTTCTTCGTATTACATTTATTGAGTAAAGAGCGAAAGACACAGCATTAGTGATGAGAATGGGATTCTAATGCAGTAATACAGTGAAGCAGAAGCTATGAGTATGTTTATACTTGCACTTGATTGACACAACTTTTTTCATTCAGGGGTGTTTTAAAATCCCCCCATGAATGACAAAATTTTGCTGCAGTAAGTGGAAGTATGAATGCTGTTTTGGTCGCAGGAGTGCTCTGCTGTTAATAAAGTGAAATCCCCTTATTGGGGGTGAGAATATTTTTTGTCAACAAAAGTGCGGACAAGCAGTATTACAGAAGCCTTGTCGCTAAAAAGCTGCATAGTGTGGATATATCCTAAGTAAAACTACAGAGAAAATTGGACCCAATAACCTCTGGGATTTGAACTTAACTGTGCATTTACATACATTTTTAAAGGTTGCAAATGTTTGGCTCTTTGGGGAAAATGGACTTATTTGATAGTTCAGTAGAGGACTAGCCAGCTATTATTAAGAGACTGGTATAGTATATAATTGCTAATAGTATTGTAGCCCAAAGCCTAGTGTGCTTCAGCAGCAGCTCTGGGAACTATAAGTTGTGGATTACAAACTCCGGCATATTGGGAGAACTTCATGGTTCCTTCCAGGATGTACCTTCTGCCCCCAGCAGGGTCTCATCAGGGACTGTGCTAGAAGCAGCGTACAGGCTGCATATGGAGAGGAGGGGCTGCTGAACTGTGATCCTGTTCTGTGTTTTTTTACAGAATAAAGCTTGTTCCTGGTGGGTTGTCCAAGTAGGTCTGGTCTGAGATACAAACACACTAATATACAACACAGAGCACACCAAGGAGCCTCAGGCCTAGCCTCCCACAGCTGTGTAAGAAGTCACAAGGCTTCCCCTATGCTGAATAACCTCACACTGGAGCTAGTGAACAGGAGGGATTACAGTATAATTGATGAGAAAAGATGGTGGTTTTACTAAGTGTAATGGATACTAATTTGTAACCTGCCACATAGCCTAACACTCCCTATTAAATCCACACACGAAATATTTGATGAGATTGTGAAAAGTCTACAAAATCGTCTCTCCAAATATCCAGTGGTGTCTAAAGAGTGTTTCTGCTTTTTTAAATGGAATAAAAAAGAAAATGTAACAATTTCTGAATATGTGGCTGAAGCCTGGAAATTAACAGAGCATTGCCAGTTTGTAGGGAGTTTAAACGGTGAATTAAGAGACCAGTAGAGTGAGTTCTGCAGAACGAAGCAATCCAAAACCAATAATTTGCTGAGGCTAAGCCTACGCAGGAACATTACTGCACTGAAATTTTCTAGCTTAGGGTGTGAAATACCACACACACACTGAGCACAGCAAGTTACAATACTTTAAAGTGCCAGGCTATGTCTATACTGCGCTGTTTTGCGCAAGAAATATGCAAATGAAGTAAAGCATGGAATATTGCTGTGCCTCATTTGCATAATTAGTGAGTGGCCAGTTTTTGTGCAAAAGCCTCTTGGGCAAAAACAGAGCACAGTGATATTCCATGCTTTGCCTCATTTGCATATTTTTTTGCACAGGAGGGGGCAGTCTAGACATAGACCCAGTGTAAAACTGTGCTGGGAGCTGTGCTTCCAGCTTAGCTAGTCCCCTCTTGGAGGTGGTTTACGCAGAGCGCTGGGAGAGCTCTCCCAGTGCTCCTGCCCTGGCCACACACTTAAAGTGTGAAGACAAAGCCTAAGATGATTTGATTCAAAAAAGTGTGCTAGAAATTGCAATATCAATAGATTCATAAACTGGCATAAACTGAATCATTGCCAGTGACAAATGCCATGGTAAAACACAAAATTGTAAGTGATCCAGTACTGGCTTGAATGTATGACATATGATGAATGGATGGTGTGTACACACGAAAAACTGTTTCCAGGTTTCTTTGCTTGAAAAGAACAGTTAAGTATATATCAAGGTTGCCTAATATGTGGCAGAAGAGTGGTTAGTCCTACAAAGCCCAGGCCCCAGGTCATGTATATTCAAAGAATTTTTTTTTTTTTAATAATGGAGATTGTCTATCTCCTAGAACTGGAAGGGACCTTGAAAGGTCATCAAGTCCAGTCCCCTGCCTTCTCAGCAGGACCAAGTACCATCCCTGACAAATTTTTGCCCCAAATGGCCTCCGTAAGAATTGAACTCACAACCCTGGGTTTAGCAGGCTAATGCTCAAACCACTGAGCTATCCCTCCCCCCATTTGATGAAGGCCATCCAGGAATTGTAAAAACGAAAGTTCTTTCCAGGAATTTTGTGTGGTGTCCAGATTGTTTTGCAGTGTCTTTCATATGTGTGTCAATGTCAAGCTTAACATATTCCTTTGGAATGTAAGTCACCATTGTCATGAATCCATATAGATTATAATGAACCATTTATGAGATATATGCTGTTTTTATTTGCCATAGATGCTCATTCTAAATAGCGTGAAGTATTCTGTATGAATTCTGTTATATCACTGCAGACAGTGGAAGTGTCAAGATTATTATTTTTATGGACAGAAGTTCCTGAACATATTATTAGTATAAACAACTCAATTCACCTCTGAAGAATTTCTGTGGTTTATCAAAGAAATGGTATCAAACAAGTTACATCAAATCTATACTCTCTTCCTACAAATTGATTTTTATCCACACATTCAAGCAAGAAATTCTTGAAAATTCAGCTCCAGATTTGGATTTTGGAAACCCCAAAGTTTTGCAGAGTATTTGGATTTAGACCTGGTCCAGAGTTCAAATCAGAATCTGGATTCAAACTTCAAACTCTGCTGAAGTTAGAGGGCTTTGGGGTCTGGGTTTTTGGTTCAGCTCTACTTTCCCATAATAAACACTTCACTTTGTAGTGACAGTTGTGACGGATGGCAGAACCAGGAGCAATGGTCTCCAGTTACGGTGGGGGAGGTCTAGGTTGGATATTAGGAAAATCTATTTCACTAGGAGGGTGACGAAGCACTGGGATGGGTTACCTAGGGAGGTGGTGGAATCTCCATCCCTAGAAGTGTTTAAGTCTTGGCTTGACAAAGCCCTGGCAGGGGTGATTTAGTTGGGATTGGTCCTGCTTTGGGCAAGGGGCTGGACTTGATGACCTCCTGAGGTCTCTTTCAGCCCTAGGATTCTATGATTCTATGACTCTTCTCTAAGACAACACCAGCATTTTCCAGCATTACCTGAGATGCTTTAATTGCTGTAGTGTGTTCTCGTTTATCACATTTAAATCACGTACCTTGTCTCACTGATATTTTTACTTTTTGCTTGTAGCAGGTAGAAAGCTTTTCAAGCGTTACTATCCTTAGGAACATGTGTACTTAAACATATTAAATAAGTTTGATCTGTACAATTAATTTAAAATAGTTATGTACCAAATATGGGTGGGAAGGAATATCATGGTTTTCTGGAAAATGCCCATAATAAGTAATACATAGATTAGATATAAGTAAAAGTAGAGATGAGGCCTTTTCATGATGCTGAATTCTCATATAGGATCAGAATCTGATTTTTTCCCCTCAACTTCAGGAATGAGATGGAAGCGCTTGGATTTTGGAACAGGATTGTTGTTTGAAGTACACGTTCACATCTCAATCCAGAACCATGTGCCCCTGCAATTCACATTGTTCTGACCAGGGTCTCAGTTTGGACCTATCTCTGATTAAAAGAAATGAAGAACAAAAATGATCTGGTAGAAAAATCTTTAAAAATTTAAGTAAGATTGATCTTCCTTCTATAAAATGTTTAAACCAATCTGAGGAATACTGTGGCATGGGTATGATTTTCTATTGAAACCTGTAGGTTGATTTAAAACTTCTAATGAAAAGATAATTCTTTCTCAAATTCTATAGGTTAGTTAGAATAATTTCTGTAAAACTCTTTTGGTAACATCCTTCTTGAATTCAACAGGATTTTTCCACAAAAGAAGGTTTTTTGAGCTCAGTCTAGGCTCTGTTGAGTCCTGAGTTCCCACAAAAAGGTGACTATATACCGATTTTAATTAAATATTCTACACTAGAGTTCTGAAGATATTTCAAGTCTGCATCTTCAAGAACAAAGAAATCTAAAGAAGAGTCAGGGCTACCTTATTTAATACATTTTAGGGGAAAGGGACTGGAAGTGTAAAGAAAGAGAGAGGAAATGACATTTGTATTTTGAATAAGGATTAGTTCTTAAACATATTTGTGTGATTGGCTTGGGGAACACTTACTTAAAGATATAAACATTTTACCCAAAAGATCTCTTTACAAGGTCCCTAGTTCATAACCAGTTATCAAAATGAATAGACGTGTAAAGAACAGGAATCCAGATAATGTAGATGGTAAGCATTTTAGTCCACATTAAGTTTAAAAGGGAGCTTTACAGAACTTGAAAATTAGATATAATTAACTACTAAATTATGTTTTGTTGAGCCTCATGTTACCATACTATATAACAGGAAAGCATAAACATCCTATATTTCTTTATATAATTCCAGGTATTTACAACATACCTCCTGGTTTGGCAATGTAACGTCTCAGATGCTAGCAGCATAATTTGAGCACATATTTCACAATTACATTGAACTGACATAATTGCATCCATCGCTATATAATCTACCTTATACATCTATTCAGCACATAGTCCATAAACGTTTACAAAACACTCTTGTTTAACAGAAGCCAAAAAGGGGCAACGAAAATATCCCATTTAACTTCAGAAGTAGAAGCCAATGCTTTACTTTAGCAACAACATTGCAGCTAGCAAGAATTGGTACAGCCTTATACATTTTGCCTTTACTATAGCTTTTGTCATTGATGTGTACGTTAATATTGTGTTGAATCAAACACTCTACTTGCGTGTTTCATCCAATGAAAAATAAGATAAACCCACTATAATTACCAGTTAGGACACATCCACTATACACAGAAAAAGCTCTGGATGGTGACAGAGGAAAAATCAACAAAAGGGTCTTTATAAAAACCCACGTTTCCCTTTAATAATCATATGCCAAAGTGCCAGAAGTAACTCAGACAATATAATGTACTTCAAAATCAATCATGTTGAATTCAAAATATTTTTTTCACATATCACTAGCCTTTCATTGGCATATTTTTCCTCTAAAAATTAGGAATATTTTAAAATTACTTACACAATGGACATTGACATTAATTAATTGGATAGTTATGGAAAAACATGTCTTTCATGATAACTACTATTAATTAAATTTTCAACTCCACTGAAAACAAATTTTACTGAAAACAGTGACAAATTCAGGATAACTAGCATGAAATCTGATGCATTATCTCTGCACTGTGCAAGTATTTCATGTCACACTGTTATCATATTAAATATATTCTGAGATGTAATATTGAGATGGGCCCAAATCAAAACTCTTGATCCAAATACCCCTAAATTTGGATAAAGGCTAGATAGACCTTGTGATGTGGGCTCATCTCTAGTTCAATATTTGTAATTTCTTACAGGATGTTTATTTTGTTGTCCCTTTAAAAAATATTTATTTATGCTCAGATTTTTATGCCCTCTGATTTCTCTTGCCACTTCCTTTGTTTCCAAACGGGATTTTGGCACTTAATTTTATTATTCTGTAGTGAGATACACATTACCCCACTCCACCAGCTTTGCACTGCAAGTGACTGTAATGACAGAGAACCCATTTATATAAGGGCTTCTCCTACCAAATGGAATACTTCATGCAGCCCAGTACTATCATATCATCTCTAACCACCCACTCTTTTTGCAGGAGAGGCATCAGTGAGAACCCGTAGGCCCCACAAACCTCCGTTTCTGGAACAGTCCATTGGCACGCGGGGGCTGAACACGCTGGTCCCACTGCACCAGGGCTGGCCTGAACACACTGGTCCCAGAATCCAGGAGCCACAAAGATGTTTTAACAGCTAGTTTTCCCCAACTGAGCATTTCGACTAGCCCAGAAGATCTAACTCCAAGAGAACAAATAATTCCAAATATTAATTAGGTAATATTTGTAAAATGAAGATCAAAAGTGCTATATAAATGCTAAACAATATAACAATTAATATAGAACACTCAGAGGTGAGTCACAAAAATCCTGTTTTCATTTTCCAGTAATACCAATTTTCTCAGTATTTTTAATAGTCTCATGATATACTGATGACTACATGACATCAATTTATGTTTTTTCCTGTGTTCTGTGTCTCATTAAACTAATGGTAGATTTCTGAGTGGGAGCAGGGGAATTAAAGAGAGATTTATTTTTATTTATGTGCTGTATAATAGTAAATAAAATAAATTAAGTGTGAAGTGCAATGAATTCCATTTTGTACAGTCACTTTGCACTGCTAGTGTGCATTTAAAAAAACTAAAACTCCCGGTATATGAAGAAATACAAATTCAGAAATTTCTGCTATTTGTTTACAGGTGGTACTTTGCATGACAGCCCTGGTATTGACACTGGGTTCTTAATATACAAACAACAGTGTATATTATATCACCTGTGAGCTCTCCCCTCCACTCAGAAACACTGTCCTGAAACAGAACAATTTTTTTAGGATTACACTTGCCCTTAACAGGTTTTGCCCATTTGGGGGCCAAAGGATCTCCCAATACGTTATTTTGGGTACTGCTGTTTTCACCTTTAAGTGCTTCTTGTTCCATTTCCTCAGGCTATGGACTAGTGTCACAAGGGAACTAGTGTAAGGTCCATTGCTACAGACATATAAAAATAGAATAGACAAAACATTAGAAAATACAGAGGAAAACAGTCTTGCAACTGAAGATGGTCTGGATGACCCAACAGGTCAGGGTCTATGATTCACTGTACTCATTCTCTGGCTGAAGGGGAACACCACAGGATCCTAAGATTGTTGGCAATAATGCATCTTCACAGAATGACTGCTGACACCCATAGACAATCACAGCACCTGCTGCTTCCCTCTTGAACCCATGCACAAGACTGTCATTATGCAAAATTTGGCTTTCCCATGCAGGAATTTTTGTCCCCAGACATGTAAAGGAACAACTTTTGAAAAGAAAGAACTGCAGCCAATTTACGACGTGTGAATAATGTCAATACTGTTTATGTTTTGCTCGCATTGTCTATTTCAATTATAGCAGTTTGGTATTACCCTGCCAATACAACTTCTCTTCCACTTTCTTCTTTTTCCATTGACAGAAGAGCAGCATCTTAAAAGTTTTTCGGAAAGTTTTGTTACAGAGAGCATAACAAATAGGGTTAACAGTGCTATTCACATAGCAAAGCCAATATCCAAGGTGCCACAGTGTTAGAGGAATGCAGTCTGAGCAAAATGTGGAGACCAAAACCATTATATTGTAGGGAGTCCAAGTGATGATAAAAGCTAGAAGAATGGCACTTAAAGTCTGGGCTGCTTTGCGCTCCTTTATAAGAACCATTCTTTTCCTTTTAGTGATTTGGTTACTTAAATTTGGATCCATGCTCTTGATGGAAGGGTCCTTTGATAAAGCAGCAGAACAAGGAGTTATTTTTACTTTTCGGCAACCATTGTTGGTTTCCTGTGTGCCATCAGCCTTAACCACCAAGTGGAATTTATAGGCCACACATTTTGGACTTTTTTGCACTTCGCTTTTGGCTGGAGAAAGAAAGTACTTCTGTGTCTCAAAATTAGTTTCCATATGGTGGTCTTTGATAAAAACTTCCTTATTCTCCTTTTCATTAAATTCTTCTTTCCTACCTTTGTCTGGACTCTTGTAAGTTACTTGAAAAACTGAATCAGTGGCAGGTTTGTCCTCTTCTTCTGAGGATGCATAGCTGCTACAAGTGGTTAGCTGCTCTGCCTTAGACCAATCATTACAAGTATTTGGTGTTTGAGGTGCTTTTGCAGTGGCTGAAGTGCTTCGACTGGATGAAGACCATGAAGCCTGACACCTCTCCCTTTTGGCTAAATTTTGTTGCTTGCAACTAAAACAGGACTTCAGAAGAGCTTTCTGGGGTTTTATCATCTCAAGTTCTGCCACAGATTCAGAGCCTTGTAGTTCAGCAAGGTCCTTGGTACGTTTCTCAGTCTCTTTATAAATGCGGCAATATAAAATAGTCATCACTGACACTGGGATGTAGAAAGCAGCAATTGCGGTGCCAAAGGTGATAATGGGTTCATACAAAAATTGTATCTGGCATTCTTCAGGTGGGACAGTTCGCTCCCCTACAAAATACTGCCAGCATAAGATTGGTGGTGCCCACAAAATAAAGGAAATTAACCAAGCTAGACCAATCATTATGCCAGCCCTTTTGGGAGTACGCTTAGCCCTGTAGGTTAGAGGTCTTGTGATGGAAAAGTATCGATCAAAACTAATAACAAGCAAATTCATTACTGAGGCATTGCTAGCTACATAGTCCAGTGCTAGCCACAGATCACAGGCCAGACTTCCAAGAGACCAATGGCCTATTAGTATATAAGATGTGTAGAGATTCATAGAAAATATTCCAATGATGAGGTCTGCACAAGCAAGGCTGAGCAAGTAATAATTGTTAACAGTTTTGAGTTGACTGTTGACTTTGAAGGATATCATTACAAGAATGTTTCCCACTATGGTTATTAGGCTTACAATTGCTGTGACAGTAGCAATTGTAATGACTTCCCAAATGCTATGCCCTTCTAACTGTTTATGATTAACAGATGTACTGTTTACAATAGTTGAATTGCTATATACATTTACTTCCATTCTTGTTCTTAGAGTATTATCATAGGGATATTAAGGTCATTGCAGAACGTTTTCTGTACTTGATAATTTTCTGGAAGACACCTGTAAAGATTAAGAGGGAGAGAGGAGATTGCAGTTTGTTAAACATCACTGGACTTTCAACAGAATTATTTAGCACAAAATATCTATATAAGTCATTGTATATTTATATAGAACATTAGAAACAGTAAAAATGTTATTTTAATGTTTTAAATGACACACATTGCTCCACATGACTGGTTTTGCTGCAAAAGAAACATAATAAAATCCTACCAGATAATTTTCATGCTTTCTTTGCAATCTGATTGCTGTTTCCACCATTCTACATATAAATAAACAGACATATTAGAGAACTTTGCTTTTGTAGCATTCTGTAGATCCAGAGACAATGCTAAGTATAGCCATAACAACTATGGGTTCATAAATAATTCAGTCTTGTCACCCCTTATCTCCTGAATATTTTAGAAGGATACATGACATATGCTTTGATGCACACACATTTAAAGATTCACAAAGCAGTGAGCAGGGATTCATAGTGTTCCTTTTTGAATGTCGTGCTCTATACATCATAATTGCCAACATTTCAAAAACATCTTCGGAAGATTCTGTGATGAAGCCACTGTTTGGGGAACCAGGAGGAGCACTGAGGCAAAGAGTAGGGTTTGGAGAGCTGAGGGTGTTTGGCAGAGACAGGAAGGGAAGACACAATTAGAAGAGCTTGGTGGGCCACAAGGAGAGTATTTGGAGTTAAGGAGGTTTGGGGATCCCAGGGCTTTGACTAAAGAACTAGGTAGAAGAGAGGTTGTGGTTTTGAGGGATTTGGTGACATGGAGGAAAGTAGTCATTAGATTTTGGTAGAGGTGGGAAGAGGATTAAACTGCACATAAAAAGGAGATAGCATGTTGGAGGGGAGTCGGAAATGAAAGGCTCTGGGTTGGGAAAGAGAAGACTGAAGGAGGAGTTGTTCTTTGGTAGCCATTTCTCTGCTCTTGGAAAACAATTAGAGGCTCAAGATACTTCACTCCATGCCTCCTACCTCCCTCTACGTTAAAGCTAGCAACTCAAGCCCAATATGTGAGGAATAATGCAGAATACTATAGGATAGAAAGGAAGGGCCACACACCAGCCTTGCACCATGGCACTGGCTGGTGGGGTCCCTGCCAATCTATATTCTATCTGCGTATAGTTAAGATATTCAGACATTATACAGGTAGGTTTAATCATAATGAATAAATAACTTTTACTGGCAGATTTGGGTCACCCTACAAAAATTCACAGCAGACTATCAGATATTGCCATATACTTCATATTCAACAGCAAAATTCTCAGCTGAAATACACATTTTCAGAGAGGGACACAGGTGTTGCACATACAAGTTCCATGAAATAACTGTGTGTTGTAAGATTGAAATACCCCTACATTTGCACTACTTTGAGCAATTTAGAACCAATATTGCTTATTTATATCGAGGGCTGATTTTAAAGTCTATTTCGAGGAGATGGTAAATAAAAATATCTTGACCACTGTCTTTTTAAAATCTATTTCATAGTTTTGAAATAAAACTTCTTGGGTAAAATTCATTCATGAAATAATGCACATTGTATATACAGTAGTAGTATTATTCCAGAGATGAATTTGGTTGCTTATATTTAGGATGCTAGTAAAATTGTTCTGGTTTTGAGCTATAATTTGGATTATAGAGGATAAGAGCTTTTAAATGCTGACATGCTAGGAAACAAATTTGACTCTGCTGGAAATAGAAAAGAAAGAGACAGAGTGTACATACATGTACACTTCAGGTCCATCTGTAATTTCGAGTGGGTTAAATTAATGGACTTTTCAAATGTCAAAATAAGTTGTAAATGGGAATGACTGAAACATACTGTACTATCAGAATCTCCTCACTTGATTTTGGCTGATACTTATGCAGATAAAAGTGTAATTTCTGGAATAAGAAAAAAAGTAGTTAAGCTTTTTGAATTACACACACAGGATAATATTATTAATTCATTATTCCAGATGAGATTCCACAGTATGATTAGCATAGTACAACATATAGAAGAAAACCTCTCTGTGAAATTGCATTTTAAAAGAGAGAAAAAACAGTTCAGACAGAAACATCAGATAGCATCTCAAAGCAAGCATATTGGTAATAATGTTCGTACCTATTTACATGGATGGGTGGGAGGCAATAGTGTAAGGAGGTCTATTAGGGTTGACAGGTGGTTTCAGAAAAAATACTGGAAAAAAAGGACCCTGAGAATTGTTAAGCAAAAAAAAACCAACCAAGCAACCAACCAAACCACACCAAAACCAAACCAAAAAAACCAAACCAGCGTGGCCCCTTTAAGAAATGTGTGATGAGACTTTTTGGCCCTAACAGGTTGCCGTCAGCTGCCCCGCCATCTTGCCTCCCTGCGCCAGGCCGGACAGCTCCCCTGCAGAACCCAGTCAGCACTAGGGTTGCCAGGCTGCCTCCGTATTGAGTCGGACAGCCCGGGATTTTCGTCTCCTGGCCGGGAGAAAATCAGAAAGTACCAGACGTTTTTGGTGTCTGGTATTTTCTGAGTTTTTTTACCGGACAGGAGGTGAAAATACAGAACTGTCTGGTTCAATACTGGACAGCTGCCAACCCTAGGGTCTATAGGTTTGGGAGTAGTTGGAATAGGAGACCACTGATTCAGGTCTGTATAGGAGAAAGCTGAAGGAGGAGATGTTCTGTAGCAGCCACTTCCTCTCTTGTATGAGCAAAATTAGTGGCTCAAGCCACTTTGCCACCAACTCCTACTTTTCTCCAGGTAAACAAGCATCAGAGTTATGTGATTTGTTTGTTATGCCTGCAGGATTCTACTGGAGATTCAGACTCTTTTGGTACATACTTTGTTTAATATCACATACAATTTATATTTATAGCACGCTCCCTCCTGCAGAGCTCTTGTCTAACAAAGCAAATAATAAAGAGCAAGGTCAGGAGTTGATGTTTCTCCAATAAGATTACACTTCATGAAAGAAGTATGGTTTAAGGAATGATTATGAAGTTTAACAGAAGGCAGCACAAACATTAAAGTTGGAAAAAGATACATTTGGAACATATGCAGGTGGCTTGGGATGAATTAGAGATGAGGGCCTTTTTCTCAGTTTTGGTGGAAGAAACATCTAGAGGCCTACCTGGTCCCTCTAGTTAGTAAAATACACCAGCTTCAGTCCTGCTCTAAATTAGACCCCATTTAGGGTTGCCAGATGGTTTCAACAAAAATACCGGACACACCTGACATCACAGCACAATCTACATTACATCTTATTTAGAAAATACCAGACATTTATATTTTCTCAATTTATTTCCTATAGAAAGCTCAAACACTGGACTGTCCGGTTCAAAACCGAACACCTGGCAACCCTCACCCCACTTATACACAGACATTTCAATTATTTTTAACAAATCTGGTTTCCAGATATATTTAGTTAGATCAGTGCAATCTCCTTCTCTAAACTCTTGAGTGAATTTTTAAGTCAGTGAAAAGCCATATGAATGTCCATTGATTCAGAAATAATTGTAGAGCATAATCTGTGTGTGGAAATCAGTGCTTACGCTTGGCACCTTATGCCATAGCTCCAAGTGACAAGCCCCCAAGAATACCTTAAGCCAGGGCTATTCAACTTTGGAAGCCCCAAGGACCACAGTGATGAAGCAGATGTGAAGGGCTGCAACTTAAGTGTGATTGCATATACAATCTTCTTTCACACTGATGGGCATGAATACAAAGATTAAGCCTTTAAGCTGCAGCACTGGACCCGAACGTGGTCAGTGTGAGCCAGTCAGCACCTCTCAGGCTCTGACCACAAAGCTAAGCAGCCAGTACTTCCCACAATGCCCTGGCACCTCCTTCCTGGGGGCTAGAAACACTGACACCCTGTACCCGTCTGTTCCAGCCAGCCCTTCTGCTTGCATCTTTCAATGCTCACCTCACCTGGGAGATGCCTCACGATTGTGGAGTGTGTTCTGCATGCGGCTCACAGGCTGTGTGTGTGGAGTAGTCCTGCCTTAAGCACTATAGCTAAGCTCTATATGAGATGGAAAGCTATCATGGTGAAACTACATCACACAGATATTCTTACTAAGCCAGTGGAACTCTTGGGTGCCTCGATCACCAGTTCTATAAATCTTTACAAAAGTGAATTGTCTGCTATATGTGGGAGTTTAGTGTGGTTTTGTGTAATGTGGTATTATGTGTTGTGTAGACATCCATGTAGTTTTTATGGAGTACGATTGTGTTTCCTGCGTGGGTAGTGTGGTGCTGTTAATTATCATGGATTTTGTTTTAAGGATCATTGTACTTGTGCTGTGTGGATAGACTGGAGTGATTGTTTTCTGAGATGTGACTAGGTGTTGTGGCCATGATATTCCAGGCAGAAATGCTGGAACAATTCTTATAGTTTGAGTGCTGAAAGTGAAAACCATGTGTCCATGATTCCACACCATATATCCATACCACCCCAGTTCAAGCACCCCAGATTTTGGGGTGCAAATCTTACTAGTGACAGGCTTTTTATCACTTGCTTTGTAAATTGGGGTACCTCAAAATGCTTTGTTTTTACTCCAATCCTGGGTTTCTCACAAACATTAAAACAGCATGCGTATGTTTACAGCTTTACATATAATGTTGTTACATGTACTTCACCATGATATTATTTACCAGCAGGTTATTAGTTTTCAAATACCCTACAAAACATATTTTGTACACTACAATAATATGTAGTGTGTAAATACAGAGAGGTCCATTCTGCCACAGGTTTAGTGGACTTGTGGCAATTGTGGTGGCTCACTATGGATGTTTGTGATATGCAAGCCCCAATCTATGTGGGGCTGCCTTTTAAGAGTTTTTGGAAGCCTCAACTGGTCCAGTATGCAGCCGCTTGAGTTTTAACTAATTCTTGTTACACGGAGCACATTATGCCAGTGCTCCGGCAGCTGCACTGGGTTCCGGTGTGTTTCCAGGCACAATTCAAGGTCTTGGTTCTGACTTATAAAGCCTTACATGGGTTGAGACCAGGGTATTTGAAGGACCATCTTCTCCCATACGAACTCGCCCGCGGATTCAGGTCAGGTCAGGAGGTTCTGCTCCGTGTTCCTCCACTTATGAAGATAAGGTTGACATTTATGCTGAGCAGAGCCTTCTCAGCCTTTGCCTCTAGGCTATAGAATTCTCTCCCCCGGGACAGTCACCTGGTGCCAACGTTGGCGTTGTTTCAGCGCCAGGCCAAAGCCATTTTATCTGTGCTTTTATTGGTATTTAGTTATGTGTGTGTGTGTGTGTGTCCCTCCTCTAGAGGTGTTTTAGAAGGTTTTATGAACCCCCTTTGGAGTCCTGTATTTCACCCACCCACCCACACACAGTGTGTTTTAAAAAATGTTGTAAGCTGCCTCGTATATTTTAAATAGAGAGCCGGGATAAAAATATTTTAAATGACTAAATAAATAACGTGGTTGTGATGTGCCATGGCTTTTGTAGGTGGATAGGGGTTCACTGTGGTTATGTTGTGTGAGGAGCTTCAGTGTTACAGAGTGTCTGTGCAATAGGGTTACCAGGTGGCTTAAAATAAATACCGGACACACTTGATCTCAGATGGGGGGGGACACCGGCCAGGAGGAGAGCAGGGCTGGCCAGGAGAGGGGGTGTGTGTGTGTGTGTGTGTGTGTGTGTGTGTGTGTGTGTGTGTGTGTGTGAAACCGACTTGCAGGAAGCAGGGCTGGCGGCAGAGGGGAGGAGGGGAGGGTTGGAGGCAGCGAAGCTGGCTGGGAGGGAGACCGGCTGGCGGGAAGCAGGTCTGGCTGGGAGGCGCAGAGCTGGCAGGGGAAGATCGGGGGGAACCAGCTGACGGGAAGCAGGGCTGGCCAGGGGGAGCGGGGTTGGCCGGGGGGAGAAGGAGAGAGCGGGGGGGGGGGGGGGACGGCTGTTTCTAAGTGTTTCTCTAAAACACGTGACTTATGTAGAATACATTGTCTATACACTGTGGTATGGTTTATTGGCGCTAGTTGGAAACAGCTGCCTAATGAATTCTTGGGTTTAGCTTCCTGAGCAAGCTAGGGGTTGCCAGGTGTCTGGTTTTGAACCAGACAGTCCGGTATTTGAGGGTTCTGTCCAGGAAACAAATTGAGAAAATCCTGGACATATAAAATGTCCGGTATTTTCTAATTAGGTACGTTTTATTATAATTAGGAGTATCAATATGTAGTTGCGTATTGCCTGGCTGGTAGACACACACACGCTGCATGAGCCTGTCTACCAGCCTGGCAGTATGCAACTACGTACTGATACTCCTAATAATAATAAAACTTACCTAATTAGAAAATACCGGACATTTTCCGTGTCCAGTATTTTCTTAATTTTTTCCCTGGACAGAACCCTCAAATACTGGACAGTCCAGTTCAAAACCTGACACCTGGAAACCCACTGTGCAAGAACTGGCCAGTGGTGGAGTTTGGTGTGTTGTGCAGTGGTTGTGGAGTGTGTGAGAGAAGGGCTGTGTGTGGAGGGAATGTGGTGTGTTGTGTTGATGCATGGTATAGTTGTTATTGAATTTGGTGTGCGAGTTGTGAAGGCCTCAAGTTTTGTGCTGTGTAGTGAGGTCAGTGTGGCTGTGCTGTGGGGGCCTCCTATGGTTCTGGGTGTGCGTGTTTCTCTGTGGGGGCCTCCTATGGTTCTGGCGTGCGCGGGTCACTGGTTGAGAGGGGCTCGTGGCTGGCTGTGCTGCGAGGGGCTAGGCAGGGGTCGCTGTGGTCCGGAGGGATTTGACGGGCCCCACCGGTGGGAGAGGGCCCGGCCCCCTCTCTTTCGGGCCTGCCCGGCGGCTGTTTCCGGAGGCGGGACGCGCGGCCCGGGCCAGGCCGGCGCGGCCGCACAGCACACGGGGCGGCACAGAGAGGAGCTGCTGGGCCATGCAGGCGGAGCGCGGTGGAGGCGGCGGCCGGCCCCGGCGGGGAGGGGGCAGGCGCAGGCCCGGCGGCGGGGACAGAGCAGCGGAAAGCGGCGGCGGGGGCGGCCACAGCCGAGGAGGCGCGGGCCGCGGAAGAGGCGGCGCTCGTGGGCACGCAGGAGGCGGGGGCCGAGGCAGCCGAGACCCTCGGGGCAGGGGGGGTGCGCCTCCCCCCCCTGGTCGTTACCACAGGCGGGTAAGAGGAGGCAGAGCCCGCGCACCCACCTCCCGCCCCAGGGGCCGGCTGCAGCCACCGCCGCAGGCAAAGGCCCCGCTCCGCCCCCCCCTTCCCGGGACGCGCCCTCCTCGCTGAGTAGACGCCGCTGCGCCTCCAGGAGCACGGGGCGCCCTGCACCAAGAGAGGCGTGATCACTCCCCCCCCGCCCGGCGATGCTGGGTCTGAAAGTCACACCGGGGGTGGCCGCGAGGCAGCCCGGGGCTGGGCTTTTGTGAGACACCGGGGAGGGGGTCTCAGACCCGGCGCGGCTGCAGGGGTGTGTGCGTGTCAAGAGCCAGACGGGAGCGCGGGGGTCGCCGCGCTCGAACTGCAGACTTGGGGTGCGTGGCGACGCGCTCGCTCGTGTGACGCTGCCAAGTGCCGCTGTCAAAGACGCGTTTGTGTGGGAGAGGGGAGGCACCCGTGACTAACTGCAGACGCTCAGAGGACACTGGGCCACCTCGGCATATCACACGTCATCACCCATCCCTTTGACGTAAATCCTACTTATGACCTTG